CTGCTATTTTGCACACGCTATGCCCTTGTTCTTTTTATTTTGAACACGCTAGGCCCTTCTTCTTGCAATTTTGCACATGCTAGACCCTTGTTCTTTTTATTTTGCACACGCTAGGCCCTTGTTCTTGCTCTTTTGCGAATGCTAGGCCCTTGTTCTTGATTTTTTGCACACGCTAGGCCCTTGCTCTTGCTATTTTGCACTCGCTAGGCCCTTGTTCTTGCAATTTTGCACACGCACGGCCCTTGTTCTTGCAATTTCGCACACGCTAGGCCCTTGTTCTTTTTATTTTGCACACGCTAGGCCCTTGTTCTTTTTATTTTGCACACGCAAGGCCCTTGTTCTTGCTATTTTGCACACGCTATGCCCTAGTTCTTTTTATCTTGCACACGCTAGGCCCTTGTTCTTGCAATTTTGCACATGCTAGACCCTTGTTCTTTTTATTTTGCACACGCTAGGCCCTTGTTCTTGCTATTTCGCGAACGCTAGGCCCTTGTTCTTGATTTTTTGCACACGCTAGGCCCTTGCTCTTGCTATTTTGCACTCGCTAGGCCCTTGTTCTTGCAATTTTGCACACGCTAGGCCCTTGTTTTTGCAATTTCGCATACGCTGGACCCTGGTTCTTTTTATTTTGCACACGCTAGGCCCTTGTTCTTTTTATTTTGCACACGCTAGGCCCTTGTTCTTGCTAGTTTGCACACGCTATGCCCTAGTTCTTTTTATCTTGCACACGCTAGGCCCTTGTTCTTGCAATTTTGCACATGCTAGACCCTTGTTCTTTTTATTTTGCACACGCTAGGCCCCTTGTTCTTGCAATTTTGCACATGCTATACCCTCGTTCTTTTTATTTTGCACACGCTAGGCCCTTGTTCTTGCTATTTCACGAACGCTAGGCCCTTGTTCTTGATTTTTTGCACACGCTAGGCCTTTGCTCTTGCAATTTTGCACTCGCTAGGCCCTTTTTCTTGCAATTTTGCACACGCTAGGCCCTTGTTCTTGCAATTTTGCACACACTAGGCCCTTGTTCTTTTTATTTTGCACACGCTAGGCCCTTGTTCTTTTTATTTCGCATACGCTAAACCCTTGTTCTTTTTATTTTGCACACGCTAGGCCCTAGTTCTTTTTATTTTGCACACGCTAGGCCCTTGTTCTTTTTATTTTGCACACGCTAGGCCCTTGTTTTTGCTATTTTGCACACGCTATGCTCTTGTTCTTGCAATTTTGCACATGCTAGACCCTCGTTCTTTTTATTTTGCACACGCTAGGCCCTTGTTCTTGCTATTTCGCGAACGCTAGGCCCTTGTTCTTGATTTTTTGCACACGCTAGGCCCTTGCTCTTGCTATTTTGCACTCGCTAGGCCCTTGTTCTCGCAATTTTGCACACGCTAGGCCCTTGTTCTTGCAATTTTGCACACGCTAGGCCCTTGTTCTTTTTATTTTGCACACGCGAGGCCCATGTTCTTTTTATTGTGCATACGCTAGGCCCTTGTTCTTGCTATTTTGTACACGCTATGCGCTTGTTCTTTTTATTTTGCACACGCTAGGCCCTTGTTCTTTTTATTTTGCACACGCTAGGCCCTTGTTCTTTTTATTTTGCACACGCTAGGCCCTTGTTTTTGCTATTTTGCATACACTATGCCCTTGTTCTTTTTTTTTTGCACACGCTAGGCCCTTGTTCTTGCAATTTTGCACATGCTAGACCCTCGTTCTTTTTATTTTGCACACGCTAGGCCCTTGTTCTTGCTATTTCGTGAACGCTAGGCCCTTGTTCTTGATTTTTTGCTCAAGCTAGGCCCTTGCTCTTGCTATTTTGCACTCGCTAGGCCCTTGTTCTTGCAATTTTGCACACGCCAGGCCCTTGTTCTTGCAATTTTGCACACGCTAGGCCCTTGTTCTTTTTATTTTGCACATGCTAGGCCCATGTTCTTTTTATTATGCATACGCTAGGCCCTTGTTCTTGCAATTTTGCACATGCTAGACCCTTGTTCTTTTTATTTTGCACACGCTAGGCCCTTGCTCTTGCTATTTTGCACTCGCTAGGCCCTTCTTTTTTTTTTGCACACGCTAGGCCCTTGTTCTTGCAATTTTGCACATGCTGGACCCTCGTTCTTTTTATTTTGCACACGCTAGGCCCTTGTTCTTGCTATTTCGCGAACGCTAGGTCCTTGTTCTTGATTTTTTGCACACGCTAGGCCCTTGCTCTTGCTATTTTGCACTCGCTACCCTTGTTCTTGCAATTTTGCACACGCTAGGCCCTTGTTCTTGCAATTTTGCACACGCTAGGCCCTTGTTCTTTTTATTTTGCACACGCGAGGCCCATGTTTTTTTTATTGTGCATACGCTAGGCCCTTGTTCTTGCTATTTTGCACTCGCTATGCCCTTGTTCTTTTTATTTTGCACACGCTAGGCCCTTGTTCTTTTTATTTTGCACAAGCTAGGCCCTTGTTCTTTTTATTTTGCACACGCTAGGCCCTTGTTTTTGCTATTTTGCATACGCTATGCCCTTGTTTTTTTTTTTTTGCACACGCTAGGCCCTTGTTCTTGCTATTTCACGAACGCTAGGCCCTTGTTCTTCATTTTTTGCACACGCTAGGCCTTTGCTCTTGCTATTTTGCACTCGCTAGGCCCTTGTTCTTGCAATTTTGCACACGCTAGGCCCTTGTTCTTGCAATTTTGCACACGCTACGCCCTTGTTCTTTTTAGTTTGCACACGCTAGGCCCTTGTTCTTTTTATTTCGCACACGCTATGCCCTTGTTCTTTTTATTTTGCACACGCTGGGCCCTTGTTCTTTTTATTTTGCCACGCTAGGCCCTTGTTTTTGCTATTTTGCACACGCTATGCCCTTGTTCTTTTTATTTTGCACACGCTAGGCCCTTGTTCTTGCAATTTTGCACATGCTAGACCCTCGTTCTTTTTATTTTGCACACGCTAGGCCCTTGTTCTTGCTATTTCGCGAACGCTAGGCCCCTGTTCTTGATTTTTTGCACACGCTAAGCCCTTGTTCTTGATTTTTTACTCACGCTAGGCCCTTGGTCTTGCTATTTTGCACTCGCTAGGCCCTTGTTCTTGCAATTTTGCACACGCTAGGCCCTTGTTGTTGCAATTTTGCACACGCTAGGCCCTTGTTCTTTTTATTTTGCACACGCTAGGCCCATGTTCTTTTTATTATGCATACGCTAGGCCCTTGATCTTGCAATTTTGCACATGCTAGACCCTTTTTCTTTTTATTTTGCACACGCTAGGCCCTTGCTCTTGCTATTTTGCACTCGCTAGGCCCTTCTTTTTATTTTGCACACGCTAGGCCCTTGTTCTTTTTATTTTGCACACGCTAGGCCCTTGTTCTTTTTATTTTGCACACGCTAGGCCCTTGTTCTTTTTATTTTGCACACGCTAGGCCCTTGTTCTTTTTATTTTGCACACGCTAGGCCCTTGTTCTTTTTATTTTGCACACGCTATGCCCTTGTTCTTTTTATTTTGCACACGCTAGGCCCTTGTTCTTTTTATTTTGCACACGCTAGGCCCCCTTTTTTTTTTTCACACGCTAGGCCCTTGTATTTGCTATTTTGCACACGCTATGCCCTTGTTCTTTTTATTTTGCACACGCTAGGCCCTTGTTTTTGCTATTTTGCACACGCTATGCCCTTTCTTTTTATTTTGCACACGCTAGGCCCTTGTTCTTGCAATTTTGCACATGCTAGACCCTCGTTCTTTTTATTTTGCACACGCTAGGCCCTTGTTCTTGCTATTTCGCGAACGCTAGTCCCTTGTTCTTGATTTTTTGCACACGCTAGGCCCTTGCTCTTGCTATTTTGCACTCGCTAGGCCCTTGTTCTTGCAATTTTGCACACGCTAGGCTCTTGTTCTTGCAATTTTGCACACGCTAGGCCCTTGTTCTTTTTATTTTGCACACGCGAGGCCCATGTTCTTTTTATTGTGCATACGCTAGGCCCTTGTTGTTGCTATTTTGCACACGCTATGCCCTTGTTCTTTTTATTTTGCACACGCTAGGCCCTTGTTCTTTTTATTTTGCACACGCTAGGCCCTTGTTCTTTTTATTTTGCACACGCTAGGCCCTTGTTTTTGCTATTTTGCATACGCTATGCCCTTGTTCTTTTTTTTTTGCACACGCTAGGCCCTTGTTCTTCCAATTTTGCACATGCTAGACCCTCGTTCTTTTTATTTTGCACACGCTAGGCCCTTGTTCTTGCTATTTCGCCCTTGTCCGCCCGTAGCGCCCCCCGTGAGCGCCGCCCGTGACGCAGCCGCCCGTGAACCGCCGCCCGTGACGCCGCCGCCCGTGACGCCGCCGCCCGTCCCGTCGCCCCCCTCCGTGACGCCGCCGCCCGTCCCGCCGCCCGCCCGTCACGCCGCCCGCCCGTGAGCCGGCGCTGCCCGCGAACCGCCCACCCGTGGGCCTTCAGCCCGCCCGTGAGCTGCCGACGCCGCCCGTGAGCAGCCGCGCCGCCGCCGCCACCCGTGAGCCGCCGACGCCGCCGACGCCGCCCGTGAGCCGCCGACGCCGCTGCCGCTGCCGTCGCCCGTGAGCCGCCGACGCCGCCGCCGCCGCCCTTGAGCCGCCGACGCCGCCGCCGCCGCCCGTGAGCCGCCGTCGCCCGTGAGCCGCCGACGCCGCCGCCGCCGCCCGTGAGCCGCCCTGGCCGCCCGCCCAGCCGCCCGTGAGCTCCCCGCGCGCCGTCCCAGCCGCCCGTGAGCCGCCACCGAGCTGCCTCAGCCGCCCGTGCCGCCGCCCGAGCCGCCTGAGCCGCCCGAGCCGCCCGGGCCGCTCGCGCCGCCCTAGCCACCCGAGCCGCCCGAGCCGCCCTAGCCGCCCGAGCCGCCCGCGCCGCCCGAGCCGCCCGCGCCGCCCGAGCCGCCCGAGCTGCCCGAGCCGCTAGAGGAGCTGCTCTCCTGCTCCTGTCGGGCTACTGCTGCTCCTGGGCTGTGTACCTGCGCCGCTGACCTACCCGACTCTTCCTGCCCGGTGAGACTGTCAGCTGCTGTCATGGCCACCCCCAATGTCCTAGCTTTTGACGCTGAGGGTAGAGCCATTGACTTTGCAGTCTGGATTGAGGACCTGCAGCTGTACTTACTGTGTGATGCGGTCGATGAGGTCTCTCTCTTTGACTTTGTCTCTGGCGCTGTCCCTGCCCCTCCTCCTGATGCTTATTCCGCCGTTCGCTCCAAGTGGGCGACCCGCGATGCTGCTGCACGTCTTGCTGTGCGTCGCCACCTCCCTTCCTCCGAGCGTGCCCACTTTAGTCAGTGCAAGACCGCTCAGGCCTTGTACGACGCTGTAGTTGCACGCTACTCCTCCCCTTCCTCCGCTACGCTGAGCCGCCTCATGCTACCTTTTCTCTTCCCTGACCTCGCTGCCTTTCCCACCGTCGCTGACCTCATTACCCACCTCCGCGCTAGTGACGCTCGCTACCGCGCTGCCCTTCCTGCTGAGTTCCGCGCCGCCAACCCTCCTCCCATGTACATCACTCTCTACTTTCTTGTCACCCGTCTCCCTGAGTCCCTCCGTGTTGTTAGGGACCAGTTTCTCTCTGTCTGTCCCACCACCCTCACTGTCGACCTCCTTGAGGAGTCCCTGCTAGCGGCTGAGAAAAGCATAGTCGCTGTAGGGGCCTCTCGGGGTGACCCTCGCACCCCCATCTTTGAGGGGTGTTCTCCTTCCCCCCTGCTGCCCTCTGTCGCCTCTGCCGCTGCGGCCGACCTCACTGGTTTTGAGTCGGTCGGTGCGGCGTCTGCCCCCAGCGGTTGACGCCGCTCTGGCAAGGGCAAGGGGGGCAAGGGAGCGGGTGGAGCTAGAGGGGGCAGTGGCGGAGGAGGTGGGGGTGGCGGGGGGAGTGGGGGTGGCGGTGGAGGTGGTGGCGGGAGTGGAGGTACTGGTGGAGGCGGTGGAGGCGGAGGTGGCGGCGGGGGCGGTAGCGGAGGAGGCGGGGGCGAGGGTACCAGTGGGGGCGGTGGCGGTGGAGACGGGGGCGGTGGTGGAGGCGGGAGTGGCGGTGGCGGCGGGGGTCAGAGTGTCTCGTCCCAGCGCAGCAGCTCTGGGGGTGGTCAGCGCCAGCAGCAGCAGCAGCAGCAACGCTCTCGCACCGTCCCCGTCCCTCAGCAGCTCCGTGAGTGGTACTTGCAGCGTCAGCGTGGTGGTGCGTTTGGTTCCTGCCCCTACGTTCTTCGAACCGGCGACCGTGCGGGGGAGAGGTGTGGAGGCACCCACACGGCCCGCCGCTGCTTTGGCCGCCTGACCGACGCCTGGCGTCAGCAGTTTCCGGAGGCCGCTGAGATCCCCCGCTGGGGGGAGCTGTCTAGGGCTGGTGTAGCCATTTATGATCTTGACTTTGATGCTATTCTTTCTGCTATGTATGTTGTGACTGGTAGTGATGAGGATGACTGTTACCGGTGTTTCCCGCCCGACCCGGGCATTGGTACTGCTGCGTCAGGTACTAGTGAGGCTGCTGCTCTAGGTGCCAGTGTGTCTGAGCTCTCAGGTACTGGTGAGTCTGCCCTCTCAGGTACTGTGTCGGCTTCGGCCTCTCACACCTTCACACTTGACTCTGGAGCGTCTCGCTCCTTCTTTCGGGACCGCACTACTCTCACGCCGCTGAGTCGGCCGGTTGCGGTGTCCCTGGCTGACCCCTCTGGGGGGCCTGTCCTGTCTTGCTTCTCCACGGTACTTCCGTGTCCGGCGGCCCCCTCTGGCACCCTGTCTGGTCTCTACCTCCCCTCGTTCTCGACGAACCTGGTGAGTGGTGCTGACCTACAGGATGCGGGTGTCCTTCACTCCTGCTCGTCAGCGGGTGACCCACTGCACGGAGGCTAGCACGGGACGCCACCTGGCTACGTTTACACGTCGGCCAGGGTCGAGCCTGTACACACTGACCACTCCTTCTCCTCCTGCTTCCTCTCTTCCTGCTCTTGCCGACCCGGAGTCGGACTCTCTTCGTGCTGCCAGTCCTACTGTCACGCGTCTCCTTGCTACTGCTGTCACTGACCCTTCCTTCGAGTCGTCTGCTGCGTCTGCCCTTGTCACTGAGCTTGTCGACTTTGCTGCGCGCTGTCGTCTAGACTACGCTGCCAGTCTTGTCGCTGAGTCTGAGTCTGCCTGTCCTCCGTCCGTCGGGGGTGAGTGTGCCCTCGGCACGGACGTCCTTGAGGACAGGCAGGAGGAGTTCCAGTGTCTGGCCGCCGCTTCACCCCATCTCGCGTCTGTACTGCTAGCCCCTGAGGGAGACCCGGATGCACCAAACATCCCGACTCCGCGCTCTTACGCGGAGGCGATAGAGGGTCCCTACTCCTCTCAGTGGCAGGCAGCCATGGATGCAGAGATGGCTTCCTGGAAGTCCACAGGCACCTACGTTGACGCTGTTCCCCCTCCTGGGGCGAACATCGTCAGTGGCATGTGGATCTTCAGGGTGAAGCGGCCGCCGGGTTCTCCGCCTGTCTTCAAGGCGCGATACGTTGCTCGTGGCTTCAGTCAGCGGCAGGGGGTTGACTACTTTCAGACCTTCTCCCCCACCCCGAAGATGACCACTCTTCGGGTTCTGCTGCACGTTGCTGCTCACCGTGACTACGAGCTGCACTCTCTCGACTTCAGCACAGCTTTCTTGCAGGGCAGTCTGCACGAGGAGATCTGGCTGCGCCGCCCACCTGGCTTCACTGGGTCTTTCCCTCCTGGTACCCAGTGGAGTCTCCGGCGTCCAGTCTACGGTCTCCACCAGGCGCCACGTGAGTGGCACGACACACTGAGGACTACGCTCGCGGCACTTGGGTTTTCTCCGTCTACTGCCGACCCGTCGCTGTTTCTGCGCACCGACACCTCTCTGCCGCCGTTCTACATCCTCGTGTACGTCGACGACTTGGTCTTTGCCACAGCTGACACTGCTGGACTCGCCTACGTGAAGTCCGAGCTGCAGAAGAGACACACGTGCACTGACCTGGGTGAACTGCGCAGCTACCTTGGCTTGCAGATCACCCGGGACAGAGCACGCCGCACCATTACCCTGACTCAGTCACACATGGTGCAGCAGGTCCTTCAGCGCTTCGGCTTCACGTACTCCTCGCCTCAGGCCACTCCTCTGCCTACTCGCCACTCGCTCTCAGCTCTGCCTTCGGATGAGTCCGTAGAGTCGAGTGGCCCGTATGCAGAGCTTGTTGGCTGCCTCATGTACCTGATGACCTGCACTCGACCTGACCTTGCATACCCTCTTAGCATTCTCGCACGCTATGTTGCTCCTGGGAGACACCGACCAGAGCACATGGCTGCAGCGAAGAGGGTGTTGCGCTACTTGTGCAGTACGTCAGGCATGGGGCTAGTGCTTGGAGGGCGCAGTCCAGTGGTCCTCACTGGGCACGCAGACGCTTCTTGGGCTGACGACCAGGCTACGCAGCGGTCGTCACAGGGTTACACCTTCAGCCTTGGTTCCGGCTCTGTTTCGTGGCGGGCTACCCGCTCGTCTTCTGTTCTCGGCTCCAGTTGTGAGGCTGAGATCTACGCTGGGGCTATGGCTGCACAGGAGTTACGCTGGCTCACCTACCTGCTGACCGACCTTGGAGAGCAGCCTCGTTCTCCTCCAGTCCTGTACGTAGACAACAAGGCCATGCTGGCCTTGTGTCGAGAGCAGAGACTGGAGCACAGGACAAAGCACATTGCTCTCCGCTACTTTCTTGCTCGTGAGCTACAGCAGCGTGGACAGTTGCGACTTGCGTACGTGGCCTCTGAGGCCAACACTGCTGATGTGTTCACCAAGGCACTTGCGCCTTGTGATCATCAGCGTTGCTGCACGCAGCTGGGTCTTGTGTCTGTCTTGCCTCACTTGCTCACTTCTTGACCTTCCTTGTACCGTCACATATATATAGTCTTGCTCTTGCTTGCTTGACTCTTGTATATCTCTATATATATGATCTTGCATGTGAACTGGCCTTGTGGCCCTTTAACTTGTGCTCGGAATGTGTGGTGACTTTGTGATCCACCCTGAGCTTTGCTTTGCTTTGCTTGACTGGTCTTGTGACCCCTTGTTCTCCCCCACTTTGCCTATGGGGGTGTGTCAGAACATTATAGCTTACTCATTTGTGTAGGCTATAGTGGGGTATCCCTTAGGGGGTACAACCCAGCTAGGGTTTCCTATTTGTACTCACTTCGTTCATAGTTCACACATTTCTCTCGTTCACTTCTTCACACGCTAGGCCCTTGTTCTTGATTTTTTGCTCACGCTAGGCCCTTGCTCTTGCTATTTTGCACTTGCGAGGCCCTTGTTCTTGCAATTTTGCACACGCTAGGCCCTTGTTCCTGTCCCTGCGCCTGGTCAGGTGGCTGCGTCAGGTCAGGTGCTTGCTGCTGCGTCCCGGTCAGGTCCTGAGTCTGCCCCCTGTTCTTGTCGCCTCCTGTCTCACGAGACTCTCCTGTGGCACCACCGTCTTGGCCACCCCTCCTTGCCCCGTCTTCGGAGCATGGCTTCCCGTGTCCTTGTCTCTGGTCTTCCCCAGTCTCTCCCTCCTCTCCCCTCCGGGCCAGGACCTTCCTGTGTCCCCTGTGTCGAGGGTCGCCTCCGGGCTACTCCTCACTCCTCCCACTTCCCCCCGACATAGGCTCCCCTGCAGACGCTTCACATGGATGTGTGGGGCCCAGCCCCCGTCCGTGGGCAGGGTCACGAGCGCTACTTCCTGTTGGTGGTTGACGACTACTCGCGTTACACCACAGTCCTCCCCTTGCGCAGCAAGGGTGCGGTCACTGAGGTGCTGATCGACTGGATCCGCGAGGCTCGTCTCCAGCTCAGGAAGAACTTCGGCTCGGACTTTCCTGTTCTGCGTCTGCACTCGGACAGAGGCGGAGAGTTCTCTTCTCGCCTTCTGCGAGACTACTGTCGTGCACGGGGGATCCGCCAGACCTTCACGCTTCCGGACTCACCACAGCAAAATGGGATTGCTGAGCGCCGCATTGGCATGGTCATGGATGTCGCTCGTACGTCCATGATGCATGCGGCTGCCCCCATTTTCTGTGGCCGTTTGCGGTGAGGTACGCAGCGCATCAGCTCAACCTTCACCCCCGGGTCTCTCGGCCTGCGATGTCCCCAGCCTTGCTGTGGACGGGGAAGGTTGGCGATGCGTCTGTGTTCCGTGTCTGGGGATCTCGGGCGTTTGTCCGCGACTTGTCTGCGGACAAGCTGTCCCCTCGTGCTGCTCCCTGTGTCTTCCTTGGCTTCCCCACTGACGCCCCAGGCTGGCAGTTTTACCACCCCTCCTCTCGTCGTGTTCTGTCTTCCCAGGACGTCACGTTCGACGAGTCAGTCCCCTTCTACCGTCTCTTCCCCTACCGCACTCCTTCCCTCCCCCCTCCCCCGGACTTCCTTGTGCCGGTTCCCCCCCCGGTAGACCCCCTCCCCCCTCAGGTTCCTGCCCCCTCAGGTGTGTCCCAGGTAGACGCCGTTGACCCGGTCGAGGTTATTGGTGACTCTGGTGCTGCTGCGGGTGCTGAGCCTGGGGGTGCTGACTCTGGGGGTGCTGTGCGCGGGGGTGCTGAGCCTGGGGGTGCTACTGCTGGGGGTGCTGGGCCTGGGGGTGCTAGTGCGGAGGGTGCGGAGCCTGGGGGTGCTGAGTCGGGGGGTGCTGTGCCTGGAGGTGCTGGGTCTGGGGGTGCTGGGTCGGGAGCTGCTGAGCCTGGGGGTGCTGAGCTGGGAGCTGCTGAGCCTGGGGGTGCTGCGTCTGGAGCTGCTGAGCCTGGGGTTTCTCCTGCTCCTGCGTCTCGCCGGGAGCCCCTCTCTCCACAGGAGCTGCGCGAGTGGTTCGCTCGCCGCTGGAGGCGTGCTGCTGAGTCTGGAGGTGCTGCTGGAGCTGGAGCTGGAGCTTCTTCGACCGTCGAGGGTGCGGGTGCTGCCGGTCCCGGAGCTGCTGGACCTGCGGGTCCTCCTGGAGCTGGAGCTGCTGAGGGCGTTGGTGCTGAGCCTACTGCTGTTGGTCCTGCCGCTGGAGGTGTGGGTGGCGCTGGTGCTGTCGCTGAGGGTGCTGGTGCTGTCCCTGCTGAGTCTGGAGCTGCCGCGCGGCCTCGGCCGTACTTCGTTCCGCTCCTGCAGCAGGTTCTTGGTCTTTCTCCTCCAGTAGAGGGTCCACCGCCTGTCCAGTCGCAATCCCTGCTGGAGCCTTCCTCTCCACTGCCTGCTCCCTCTCCTTACACTGGTCCTACTGGAGGTCTTCTTGAGCGTCGTGAGCCTGCGTCTCGTCCCGCGTCGCCTGTTCGTGCTGCTCGCGCTAGTGGTCGCAGTTCGCGTCAGCGTCCTCCTCCTGTCCCTGGCACGCACCGGATGTCTTTGCGTCCGTCCACTGCTCCTCTGCGTGCCCCTTTGCCTTCTCCTCCTGAGTCCTCTCTTCCTGCGCTTGCCGACCCTGAGTCGGACTCTCTTCGTGCTGCCAGTCCTACTGTCACGCGTCTCCTTGCTACTGTCGTCACTGACCCCTCTTTTGAGTCCACTGCTGCGTCTGCTCTAGTCGCTGAGCTCGTCGACTTTGCTGCTCGCTGTCGTCTTGACTACGCTGCTAGTCTTGTTGCTGAGTCTGCGTCTGTCTGTCCTCCGTCCGTCGGGGGTGAGTGTGCTCTTGGCACGGACGTCCTAGAGGACAGGCAGGAGGAGTTCCAGTGTCTAGCGGCTGCTTCACCTCATCTCGCGTCTGTACTGCTTACCCCTGAGGGAGACCCGGATGCACTAGACATCCCGACTCCGCGTTCTTACGCGGAGGCCGTAGAGGGTCCCTACTCCTCTCAGTGGCAGGCAGCTATGGATGCAGAGATGGCTTCCTGGAAGTCCACAGGCACCAACGTTGACGCGGTTC